AGAACGCAGTTTAAATTATGTTATTTTTGAACGCATCTTAATAATAATGTCATTCCTAGAGAAGTCCCTCTCTTTTCAAATAACAAGATCGATTTTATTTCCGACTAATCTAATTTGATACAAATCTTATATTATTTACTAACCATATAAATCCATGAAAATTATAAAAATTAGATTAGATAACTAATATAATTAGATGTTACCTAGAGGAAAATAGTTTATTTATAATGAAATTAAAAACTAATGATTATTCATAAGAATCGATATTACATTATTCAATAATCGATTGCGACCTTCCATTTTTAGACAAGTATGTGTAGACGTTTTTCTACGCAGACCGTTTTGTAACTTTGGCGGCGATTTTGTATTATCTTCTGTATTATGGGGAGCATACTAGGTTCTATGGGCAGTATAGAATGGAGGTCTGTAGATAAATACCGAATTCTCTGGATTTATTAGAATTAGACATAAATATAAATAAAGTCCCAATTATAAGGGGCCGAATTAAGTCGAGACATTGGGAGGAAACATAATTATGTGTACATTTTAATAAATAATTTACATCCGGGTTAGATGGCATAAGAGAACACTGCTGTAATTGTTTTATTGGTCGATGTACACTGGGATGCTGTGCTCATATAATGACCATAGTTTGGTATCTTGGATGGGCCAGACATGAACAGAATGTAGCTGCTCCTGCAGCATTCCGTGATGAGGTATTCAATAGAGTTGTAACAAAGAAAAGAAAAATCAACATGTTGTTTTGCTATATCCTTTTGACATTAGTATTTTCACTTCTACTTTATATACAGTGTAAGATGGAAAAGTAGAGTTATTGAGAACACTCTTAAAAATTCTATTATTTTTTTGATGTTCATTGGTTCACAAAAAATGATTTTATTTCTTACAGTCAATAAAAATAATATATTAGATATGGAGCAAGTTTGAAGTATTATGTGAAAGTATGCATTTCTAGGACCACGATTAGGCATTATCTGACGTGTGCTTTACATATTTCAACTGTAATACCTCTAACTTAAAATGCTACAGATTAAATAATACGACATAACCTCAAAAACATATTACACAATTACTCGATACTCCCAGCTTTTAAAAATATATTTAATGTCTTTCTTTGTTCTAGTTGTATAGACAAACAAAATAATATATGTTTCATCAAGTTACGTTTTATTCGATTTTACTAGTCCAAGCATGTTAGGCAGATGGCCATTGTTCTTTATTAGTAAATTTGCTTAGACAATTCCCATTAAAGTCAATAAACTTTAAAGTCCAATATAAAATAAACAAAAAAAGACTTATGCTTTTGCTTTACAGATTCGTGAATCAGATTCACTGTGCCACAGATGCTATCAGAAAGCGACATCTCTTAACGCATCAAAAGAAAACTCTCCAACTTCAAATGAATTCCCTGAAATGCCCACGACCAACAATAGCTTAGTCCGTGAAACTATAACACTGCCCAATTACTCGAGAGCATCAGACACACACAGCCGGTGTATAATAAAAAACTGTCCGTCTAAATATCAGAAAGTTGTACCGCTTGCTTTAAGACTCGAGCTAATTAAAGTACACAATTATTATGTACCCCGAAAATGTCGTATATGTGATATACATTTAAAAAACCAACAATGGACAGATTTGTTAAACGACGATATGAATAGAAATTTTACAGCGGCTCATATAGAAGAGTTAGTCGAGTTATTGAAAAATGATTTACAAAAACATCCGGATAAATGTAAAAAATAAATTTAATTTCATTTAAATAAGTGAGTTCTTGCTTTAAAATTACATCAAAATTTAAACTGTAATAATACCGAGTATTATTTTACCTTTTCCTAAATAAAAATGATAGGTTATCATCATCATCATCACCAGCCCTTTTACGTCCCCACTACAGGAGATGGTTGGATGGTTAAGGAGGATGGGCCATGACCCTCTACGCTGGCCCAATGCGGATTGGAGGGTATTAACGACTGCAAATGCAGCAGAGACCAACGGCTTAACGTGCCTTCCGAAGCACGGAGTAGCTCGAGATAATAATTTTTAGGTCACCCATCCCGTGACCGACCCTTGCGAAAGTTGCTGAGCAACAACGATCGCGGGCCGCGGCGCTTATCCACTACGCCACCGAGCTTCTCACAGGTAGGTGTTAAAGGTGGTAAACTTAAAGATAGGCTACGTCTTCAGGATATAAGGAGGAGGACAGGTGTACATGTAATCCATAAAGCGGAAACCTTAAAATGGAAGTGGACAGGACATATGATGAGATCAACAAAACCATAATGGGCAAAAGATATCACAGTATGGTACCTTCTAATAACGGAAAAAAGGTAGGCAGATAAAGAGATGGGAAGATCTACCGAAGGGATGGAGAAGAGCAGCCAGAGATAGAGGGGAATGGGCTAAGCTGGAGGAGGCCTTTGTCAAAGAACAACCTGGCGGTACAGACGCCGATGTCGGCGGAAAAACTAAATAACAATAATTGGTGTAGAAAGTCAAAGATTAAGGCATTTTTTATTTATTTTTTATTTATAAACAAAAATATCGTTATCGAATCCATCGCGTTCAGAGGACTAAGGGTCTAATTTTAACATCTATTCTTATCCTTTTCAATTTGACATTTGAATGTCGTTAACTTAAACTTCATTGGAATTGTCTAAGTGTAATCTTCCATTGAAATGAAATGAAAATATCTTTATTCAAGTAGGCTAATACAAGCACTTTTGAATCGTCCAAAAAACATTCGTTCCAAAAGCCAGATTTTCAAATTAGACAATTAGCCGACAGTTTTGCAAGTTGAAACAAAACAAGTGCGAATAGGACTCGCGCACGAAGGGTTCCCTACTGAAAAAGAGCAAAAAATATCACATCTGTTGTATGGGAGCATCTTTAAATATTTAATTTAATCTGGTTTTTTGTATTTGCTGTTGAAGCAGAAACAGAAATACATCATCTGTGAAGATTTCAACTGTGTAACTTTCACGGTTCATGGGATACAGTCTGGTGACAGACGGACAGACAGCGAGTCTTGGTAATAGCAGGGTTGCTGATAAATATTAACGGATATATATCATGATATGTAACGATTGATATATACATCGACATATGTTAATTGATATTTATAATATTTATTGAGTATTCAGTCTCAGCTAAGAAATAAACCAATCCGATGTGACGCTGGCAACATTGGCCCGAAGTAGCCATCTTTGGCTCAAAAGGACTTGAATCCAGAGCCGTTAAGCTCAATAATATAAAAAAAAGCAGCCATCTTACTTACTAAAGTACAGCCAACGAGAAGCGATAAATGTAAACAAAACCAATACAATGTCATTAGGAAATTCAGGGGTGCGTAACTTTTTAAAAACTATGTATTTTATTAGCAGACAATAGTATTTTAAATAATACCTGGCATTCAGTTACTTTATGTAATTGTTATTCGAAAAAACTTAAAATTAAAAAGAGAATGAGTTTAAATTCGAATGATAATACTCAAAACGATAGGCATGGCAGGGATCTCAAGTCTGTTGACTTAACTTGTAGCTTAGGTCCTGCTGTTTTATATTAATAATAGTTTGAATTATTAATTTAGTTATCAAGAATGAGATTTTAATGTAAAAAATAATAATGTTTATGGCATATGAAAATGTTAATAATAAAATTATTATTTAAAATAGTCGCCTGAATGTTAGCGAACCCTGGCGAACCCATCCTGACCTTCACACATTTTCCGGGAGAACGAGACATTGCGACAAATACACAAGATAAAAAGAGATAGATAATAGATTGTCAACTCCACAGTCGTTTTTCGGGTTAATGACCTTTCGTATCGCTGCTAGTTTGCTTTACTTTAGAAATATCTATTTTTCCCCTATATGTAGTAACTGGTAACCCTCGCTCGCATACTACTTTTAAATTATTTCATTATAAATATACAAATAAACTCAATTTTTTTTAACATGGCTTTTTTACTTTATACACGGAAATTCTGCCTACATCCCGTAGTGAACGGTAGTTACAATTAACCAGCTCTTACTTGAGATTGTTTTTTTTATACTTTATACGCTTGACTACGCTCCCACCTGATGGTAAGTAGTGATGAAGCCTTGGGTGGTATAGTGCATTAGGGGTCATCCATAAATTACGTCACACTTTATGAGGGGGGGGAAGGGTCGACGAAAGTGGTGATGAAGCCTTGGATGGTATAGCGCATTAGGAGTCATCCATAAATTACGTCACACTTTAGAAGGGGTGGGGGGGGAGGAGAATATGTATAGATAAATAGGTGACAGGAATCTTGAATTTTGTGTGACGTGATTTATGGACGGCCCCTTAACCTAGCAACAGCCTATTCATTCTTAATTTGAAGACATTCACATTAAAATCGACGGAGATTGTTCTTTCTCTATTTAAAAAAAAAAACAACACAAGAGCAAATATCACTTTTCACACTTTTGATTTAAAATATCATATATTATATAAAGCCACTGGCGGCTCAAAAATCGCAGCTTTTCATATGCATGACATACATACATATACACATACATATACATATACATACAAATACAAATATATAATATATATGTAGATAACAACACACACCCACAGGCACAACACATAACACAATACACACACTCACAACACACACATTCACAACACAATACTCACCCACGAACTCATTCATTCATTAATTTTGGTTCTTGTTAACATTAAAATATGTACTTGCTACAAAGCTGGAGCGAAATGGTCCCAATACAAGTATTTTATATTACTTACTGGGATAATTTCAAGGTTGTAAATGATGGAAATAATGTTTATAAAGAACATTTTTATTATTATTTATGGCATTTAACCAATATATCTTGGACAAATATCAATTATTATGATATTTATTAAAAATAACGGATTTTTGCGAACCCTGAGTAATGTGTTCCAATTTTACCCTTCGAGTATAGCCCTAAACGGTTTAAATCTTAACATACCTGATATTCAATATCTCCTTCAAGTCCTGATGCTCGTATGGAGTAGTCGGCACAATTATCATCCTGTCCAGCAGATCCAGCGGTATACCATGAGGGCTAGTGTACGAAGTACCCCGTATGCGAGTTATGCCCCTGTTAGTGGCCATCATAACAACAGGCGCACTCTCAGATTCCAAAGCCCGATTCAGAAACGAGAAGCATTCTATATCCAACATATGAGCCTGTGTGGAAGACAAAAAAAAAATTTCTTAACGACTCCAAAAGAACATTTATTTTGGAAGAGAGGCGGAAAGAGATATAACTTGCATTTTTCATCATTGTGCATTACTCAATCCTATGATTCATTATAGTTCCTGGACTCCCCTACTCTTCTCACCTCCACTACCACCTTTCAATTTCACCTCCCGGTCCGTTCATCACTCCTACCCTTTTATCTTCTCTCCTACCATCGTAAGTTACGCCTTCTGTACTCCATGACTCACTTCGTCTACCCTTATTACGTTCACCCCTTATACTCCTACCTTATCTTTCTTCTATCTTTTTAACCCTCATTTTCCCCCTACCTCTGTACTTCTCACTTTCCCCCTACCTCTGTACTTCTCACTTTCCCCCCTACCTCTGTACTTCTCACTTTCCCCCTACCTCTGTACTTCTCACTTTCCCCCCTACCTCTGTACTTCTCACTTTCCCCCTACCTCTGTATTTCTCACTTTCCCCTTACCTCTGTACTTCTCACTTTTCCCCTACCTCTGTACTTCTCACTTTCCCTCTACCTCTTTATCTCTTCACCCCTCTCTCTATTCCTCGCCTTTCCTCTTATTCACCCTAAATTGCCCTTTCCCCACCAGCAACCGAATCAAAGTCTTACCTCATCTATGAACAAAACACCAGGTATCATTTCAGCTTTCCCTTCCTCTCGCCATTCGGCGATTTTACAATTGATCTGCTCTCTTATCTCTGATTTTATCTCACCAGTATCACCTAGGACAAATTTAATGGCATATTAAACGACCATCATTATCATTAGCCCTTTTACGCCTCAATGCAGGAGCTGAAGTCTTTCTTATGGATGGTTAAGAAGGATGGGACCTCCTTAACCATCCATCATGGACCCTCCACGCTGGTCCAATGCGGATTGGACGGTATTAACAACCGCAAATGCAAGACCAACGGCTTAACGCACATGCTTGGCTCAGCTACGGCATTACGCTTTGGGGCAACAGTACTGATGCTAAAAAGGCATTTACCCTACAGAAAAAATGTATCCGAATACTTGCAAATATAGATTCTTTGACTAGCTGCCGATCTTTTTTCAAAAAATTTAATATTTTAACTCTTACATCTATATATATTTTGCAACAAGGTCTAGCAGTTCAAAAAAATATAAATTTATACCCTATACAGTCCCGCCCATCGAGGTTAAGACCTAAATACAAGCTGGAAAAAACAGTATCAAAACTAGAAATGGTAAACACAGGACCATATTCTATGTCCGTCAAGATATATAACGCTATTCCCGACAGTATAAAAGTAATCGAAAACATTAATGTTTTCAAAAATAACCTAATAAAATATCTATCACAAAAATGCTACTACTCGCTACAGGAGTTTTTCAGTGACACGGGAAGTAATTCCATACATTCATTTCCACCCCTTTAAATTTTAATTTATAATTTGATAATTATATATAAACAGTGAATTTTTTTTTTTTTAAATATAATTATATAACAGTATATTAGTAATGACAATTTGGATGCAAAAAAACTTTTTAATTTTGTTATTATTTTATTGTTATGCATGATACATACTTTATATTATATTTAATTTGATTTTATGATAATTATAGTTTAACTATTGTTGCAGTGCCCTTATCAGGGTTCATGTCAAGGCACATAAAAAAAACAACATCTGTTTCACCACATGAAAGCAATAAATGAGTTTGAGTTTGAGTTTGAACGTGCCTCCCGAAGCACGGAGTAGCTCGAGATAATAATTTTTTGGTCATCCATCCCGTGACTGACCCTTGTGAAAGTTGCTTAACAAAAATTATCGCGGGCCGCGGCGCTTATCTAATTGTGAATAGGGTATGATTAGGAACGTTACATCATCCCGAGCGATACTAGATAAAATCTTTAATTATAGAAATACGGGTTCAAATTAAGTCTTAATAAGTACATTCTACAAAATTATAACTTGTTTACATAAATAATTAACAGCTTTTAAAAGGCATAAAATAAAAATATAAAAAATACATGAATATTTCAGGTACTGATTGCAAATCGAACGATAAAATCTTTCAACTCCAGAGTTTACTCATTGGTAACTTTCAACAACAGCAAAAAATGATTTTCACTTTAACTCACCCGAGAATAAAGCTAAGAACCCATGTGTCCTAGAATTGATGACGTCAACCTCATGTAGAGTCACCGTGTGTACCACTTCCTTGCGTTTTTGGAGTTCACCTTCGGGGCACTGAACGAAACGAGCTTGTTGACCTAAATAAATTAAAAAAAAAAAAAACTCTTAATCAATTCAAGATTTTATTATTCATATCAAGACAATACCTCCTCTCCGTTCTAGCTTAGACCCTAGAACAGTGATTCTCAACCTTTTTTTTGTTGCGGCACATATTTAATGATTTCAAAATTTGGCGGCAAATAAAGAAAAAGATAAAAATTATTTACTTACTACAACACACTGCATAAATAGTTTATGACAACAATTTTAAATATACAAAATAAATTAATATATACTACAATAATAACTAAACATTTATTAAGGGATTAATTACAAGCTAATAATAAAAATATTTTAATGCGAAATTTGAGCTTGATGTTTTTTGACGCCGCTTCATCATAATTTGGCACTAAGAAAAAACGCGCTGCAAAGCAAATAATAAAATAATTTATTTTTTGTGGATTTAAATATATATTCATGTTAAAAATATTTTTCTTTTTAAATGATATAATTTTATAATATTAACATTTTTATATATTTGCAAAATTTGGCGGCACACTTTTGTAATTTGGCGGCACACAAAAGTGCCGCGGCACAGTGGTTGAGAATCACTGCCCTAGAAAATTCTAGGCAGGTTCGGCCCCACCAGTGTATTCACGATATTATCAAACAGTTCTAGAATGGCTACATTACTTTCCCAATATGCATATTTTTAATAGGTTTAAATTTCAAATTATGAATGAATTATTAAAATAAGTTATTATATTGAATTATTAATTTAATTTGGTGTAATATTATTATTAAATTTTGTCATTCTAAGAAGGGACTCGAACACAAGACCTTTCGCAAACCGAACTGCTTTACCACTGAGTTACCCAGGACCTAACAATAAGGTTCAAAGCAAAATACAACAATTAGATACCATGCAGTTTAAAAATACTATTAAAAAAATCTTATTTAAAAAGCTTATTTAAGAACGCTTGGACTTGAGATGATCCAGCAACTGGATAGGTGATTACTTCTTAACTCATTATCTTGTTTCCATTATTATTAAATGATTATGTTATCATTATAAAACCATAGTTTTTTTTTCTCTATTTATAATGTATTGATCTGGTAATGACATGGTTTTTGTAAATGTCATTACTCCTATTAGAGCTGGTGAGTTTCTTGCTCGTTCTTTTTATCAGCCAACAGACGTCCTGAACGAATGGGAAAAAAATGTTGGACGATTCAAAAGTACTTTTAAGAAGTCTATTTGATTACAGATCATTTTGACTTTGACTAACTGAACTGAAGAATTTATAGCACTAGTTCCTTTTTCGCTACTATACAGCGTATTCTCATCAATGTTAAGGCAATCCACCCAAACAGCCGAGAGAAATATTTTTACAGTATTCGAAAAATTTATGCGTTTATATAGATGATGAACTCTTTTATGTTACCGATTGCATCTACTAATAAGAGATTTTAAGTCGGCTTGAAATTAAAATGAAACGAAAAAATCTACTTAATAATAATCTACTCAACTGTAAATCAGCCATTGAGCAGGGTTCAGAATGATAATTCTTATTGATAATTATCTTGATAAATATACCTTGATAATTATAAAATGCTACACAAACCTTTTTTGTACTTTAGGACTTGTAATTAAAGGGGAATCATCTTGAAATTACTATCAAATATGTTTTTTCTGATACAGAAAATAGTCTAGTACCTATAGAACTACAAAACCAAAAAATAAAAAAATAAAAAAACTTTTTGTTCAATGTGATTTGATTGATAAATTATTTTGTTTGCATATTTTTATAATTTAAAATGACAAAAATAAAATTTTAATTTAAATATGAACGCCTTTCTGTATTAAAAAAGCAATGTTGCCAGTAACTGTAGATAATTATCGAATACTTATCATGATAATGAGGAAGTATTAAAAAAAAATAGTTCCCGAAATCAAACTAGATGTCGCTACGGTACTTTCTTGATTTCTCCACGACAACCAATAAAAGTAAATTAATTTTCAAAACTCAATAAAAAACTCATATTCTATTTGTACTTTTTCGTATTTGTATTGATATCTAAGTTTCGAACTTTGCAAATTTCAGTTGTTTAATATGTCAGTTAAAAGGAACGGAAATGACTGTCTTTGGTCCATTCGTTTCCTGCAAAAATCAACTTTTGCTAGAGTCGCCATCTAGCGGAGGTCTTTTTTTTTTAAATACTTCCTTATTAAAAAATATATATATATCTTGATAATCACGAACCCTGCAACTAAGCAATGGCAATATTAACAGAGTGACGTCATTACTAACCTGTGGCGTCATAATCTCTAGCGCGGGCGAAACTCCTGCCTAGTTTATTAATTTTCCCTGTCGCTTTGTCTATTGTTATCACGTCGCCTGCTTGTACCTGACGACAATAACACGTACCACTTCAATAGGTATGGCGACTGGGTAAAAAAAAATGCAATTCTATTTAGTCCGTCAGTCAGATAATAGAAAAATATTAGATACGTATTTTTTTTTACTTCAATTTAACAAGAAATAGCTTAGATAACAGGCATTAAAGAAGAGGAGTGGGGGCTCGCACCATAACGTGACGTCATGAGAAATTTCAACTCAATGTAACGCCGTAATTTTATGATTACGAAAAAAATTAAAAAATACGTGTTTAATATTTTTTAACACTACCTGACGGACAAACAAACAAAAATTAGTCATCATCCCGATTGTCTGTCATATAACAGCACTAGAACGCGTAGTAAACAGCTTTTTAATATAACCCCAATATGTAAACAGTAGCTCGGTGGCGTAGAGGATAAGCGCCGCGGCCCGCGATCGTTGTAGTTAAGCAACTTTCGCAAGGGACCGTCACGGGATGGGTGACCGAAATATTATTATTTATTAATTCAGTGATATTTTTTTTTAACATTTTAAACCCCCCTTGGTGATACATGATGAGGTTTAATACTGACTCCCCCCCTCCCCCTCCACCCATATCACGTGAAGTTTTTAGTACCAACAAAAACCATAATTTTTGACGGCATTTTCATTTTATTAATTGCGCGGTTAAGGAAATGAAATACACGTATTATATTACTACACCCCATCCTCCCCCTTGTGATATTTTGTGATTTTTAACCCACTCCCCCCTTCAAAACCTCACGTGATTAATGGACGGCTCCTTAACGATAAAATATACTGATCTAAAATTGTAAAACTACCCTGTTCCCAAATAATGATTTATTAATATTATAATGCTATTTTTTTAAAAGATTATTTGTGTATTTATTTGCCATTAATTATTATCGCGTAACCTAGCTCGTAATAATAACTTCTAAAGTATACACTCACTTTCTCTTTAAGTAGCGAGTCCACCATCTTAGCTCCCATGTCATAATTGGTCTCCATATCCGTAGTCTTCAGAGTGAGACGGCCTGTCCTCGCTCCCCCTCCCCCCGCCGCTCTCTCCACGCACACTTCTACCACTTCCCCCTCTATTATTTCAGATTCCTCTCTAAAAAAGCAAAAGATAACATTTCCATGTATATAAAATCCACAACCAGAATCTTATAACTGGTTTACACGTCGTTACGTAGATTTCTTACTTTATTTTTGTGCAAATTAAAAATTTAATTATCAAAAAGCTTCTAAGCAGTTGACTAAATTTTAATTTGTAACTTATTATTTGTAAGTTCAAGTAATTACAGCCAATTTCTGAAGAGAAAAATAACATAAAAGTTTTATACATTTATACAATTCACGAACAAAAAAGTATTAGTTTTATCAAACTATTATCAACTGATGATTTAAAAAGACTAAAAATCAGAAATAAAAATCGTTTAAGTACATTTGACATGTTCTTAACTTTAAATTCTCAATGAGGAAGTATTAAAAAAAAGAAAGCACCTCCACTAGATGGCGACTCTAGCAAAAGTAGATTTTTGTACTAAACGAATGGACCAAAGACAGTCATTTCCGTTCCTTTTAACTAACATATTATAAAAACTGAAATTTGCAAAGTTCGAAACTTAGATATCAATACAAATACGAAAGAGTACAAATAGAATACGAGTTGTTTGAGTTTTGAAAATTAATTTACTTTTATACACGAAAGAAAACCGGAAGGGTTGTCATGGAGAAATCAAGAAGGTACCGTAGCGACATTAAGTTTGATTTCAAGAACGAATTTTTTTCTTTAAATACTTCCTCAATAAGTTTAAATTCACTGCTTAATCATGTGTAAACCAGCCATTAGATAAAAAATATATAACAAATATTTACATTCATTAATCACAAAACATTTTTAGGAAGATACAATTTATAGTACTCTTAATATTTTTATAACAACTAAAAGCCTTTTCTATTTCTCCAAAAATGTTTTTTTTTTTTTTTTCTATTTTTGAGATGCTAATATAACTCCAAAGAAACATATTCTTTTATTATAAGAATGCCTGTGTAAAAACGAGAAATACTATTTAGTCCATCAGTCTGATAATAGAAAAATATTAGATACGTATTTGTTTTTGATTCAATATAACAAGATGTTGAGGATCCCCCTCCCTCCTCGCTACGTCACAATGGACTAAGGTGGCGTCATGAGACATTACGACTCAATCGCCATAATATCGATAACGTAAAAGAAAAATATCTAGTATTCTTCTGTATTTTCAATCTACCTGACCGACAGACAACCAGCAATAGGCTTGTGTCCTACAAGTGAAAATACACATTTCTGTTATATGTTCGGAAAATATGAACCATTTTGTCTCATAAATATTTAGCATAATGAATTTTATGACACTTATTTGGAAAATATTACTTTTTTTGTTTTATAGTTTTTGTAGGTCCTAGACAAATTTCTTTATCAGAAAAGCCATATAGTATCAAATATGGCTTACATTTAAAATGATTCCATTTTAATTACAAGTCCTTAAGTACAAAGAGTTTGTGTAGTGTTTTATAATTATCAAGATAGTTCTCATGATTGTAGATAATTTACACTCTGAACTATTTATTTACATTTGCATATGATCTTCAATATATCTCTGAATGTCAGAAAATTTATTATAAAGTGAATCCTGTTTCAATTTTGAACTAATCGTTAGGAGTACAGGTTTATGGTCAGATGAGCCATCTAAATACGATTTGGATTTCAAATATAGTTTTGGAAGGAATCATAAAAAAATCTGATAAGTCAGGCATCATATAGGGGCCTGATCTGTGGAACATTAATAATCTAATCTAATGATACCCTAAAAATTCATATTTTAGTCTTTCAAAGTTATGGTGGCATAAAAAACTCACATACTGATCTTATATTTTCATGCACATTACCTTAAATGAAACAACTTTTAAACTAAGGTGTCCAATCCATACCTTAGTTTTATCCGAACACGGAACCTGTAAAGGATCCGAAACATCAATAAAACTAAATACAAACACAATAAAACCGTTTAAAAGTTGTTTGATTTATAATACTCACCTACATTAACCCTAAACACAATTCACTGATTTTTTGGGCACTTGTGAAAAATATGGAACCTTGAAAAAGCTGATAAACTTTTACTCACTTAATTCTAATGCCGATAGATTTCCTGATAGCCTGCGTTAGAGCTTCAGTTTTGCTCATCTCCAGTGAGAATATCTCAGAACCTGTTGGCAAATACAGTAAATAATACAGATATCATAGGGTTTAAATATTCTATATATGTATAAAATCAATTGCTGTTCAATTATCTCGCTAAAACTCAAGAATGGCTGTTTGTATTTTTGTTTTTAAAGTTTGCGATAGTCCAGCAAAGGTTTAAACGGTGAAAGGTAATACGAAATACAGTAGGTCACCAACTGTTATTTCAAATTCAACTTAAAATTCAAAAATAAACAAAATTAAGATTTTAATATTGAATAATGCATAGCACTTCATTGTCTAATTTAAATTCTAAAAAAAAGCTAAACTTATATACTCACCAGCCATACTTGTGAACGGAGTGTCCGGTCCTAACGCTTGCGCAAGACCCATCGCTATAGCGGTTTTTCCAGTACCTGGCTGGCCAGCTAATAATACTGCACGACCTGCTATTTTACCTGTAACACACACATAGATTAAATGAATGTTTAATTGCTGTGAGATATGTATCAGCAGGATGTCTTATGTTATCTATTCTTACATAATAGCTAACCAGACAGATTATAAACTGACGATTTTTATAGTTTCACAGTGACTTATACAATGGATTAACATGGGTTGCTAGAAAACGGTTACCATAGCAACAAAATAATGACCAACCTTCTCGGATCATCTGAAGTATGACTCCGGCGGCCTTCCTAGCCATCTTCTGGCCAACCATGCCCTGGGATACCGCTCTAGGCTCCAGAGAATCATCAAGACCCAAACCTCGAATATGAGAATGAGCACCGATACGCTCTATACGCGTTATAGAACGCACTTCTTGCACTTGCGCTGCCGCTAGGGACTGAAAATTCACAATACCAGATATCAATCTCTAATAATAACAAGAAAAAACAATAAAACAATTTGCTTTGAGGTTATATGTAAACGCAAATCCGCAAGTAATTAATCATAATATTATATGTTAAAGTTACTTACAGCCATTTTTAAGATTGTGACAAGTTGAGATTAGCCAAAGAATTGAAAAATCTTGTTTTGCTTAAGGATAACAAAATTAATCACACCGCGACCAAAACACCGCAACTCAACATAGGGAGGTTCGATACTCATCGATGTTTAATAAACATCGATGTTTTGTCATCCATGTTTCAACTTCTATAATACGGCACATCGATGTTTTCTAGCCAAACATCGATGTTTATAAATAAAATATCAATATATCCTTAGGATCATCTAACGTGCTCTAGATGATCTCGTATATCAAGTTCAACAATTTTTTACTAGATTTCACCGGTTGCACTCGTAACTGGAGTAACCAAACAAATAGTTTTTCTTTGCTTGCATTTTCCAAAGAAGTTAAAAATAAATCTGTCGACTTCAGTGCTCTTTGGTATTCTATAATTAACCGATAACGTACTTCAATGACTGCAACGATTTAATAGGTTATTTTGAGAACAAAAATTAAATAGTTGCCCTCAAGAAGATTACGATACTAACTGCTTGCTGATATTGTTTTGGATTGAAGGTATAAAGGTTTAAGAAGATTTATTTTCGGTGTCGGGTAGCTTCGCATGTTATGCTAAACTAACTAAAGTTCGTCTCACGAAAGAAGCCCCTCGAATCACAATGTTTTCGCTTTTATTATAAAGGAATAAGAGTTATTCGATGGGACTTCTTTCGTGAAATTTTAACTAAACTCTTTTTTATTTCGTATTTCAAAGTAAGGATAATCGATTTTGGATAATCAAGGATGTTGAAAGTAAAAAAAAAAATCAATGTCTTAAGATCGATGTTAACAAATTAATCATCAATGTTAACTCACGGCTTCACGCAAGACCAATGCATTATTTAATACTTGATAATATTAATATCAATTTAAATTAATCGATATTACAAAAAACATTGAAATTTTGATAAAATGAAAACCGGATTTTTGTATATGTAACATATACACACCTTGAAATACATATTTTACATACATGTTTAGAAAAGTTGAATTGTTTGACTCTTTATCAATAAAGAAATAGATTAAAAGTTCTTCCTTATCAATATTAGTTTTCCTTCAATCGGTTGATATAAAATATTGGAAGATGTAATGATTTGTTCTGTTTCCTAATAAATTTCGAAAGATTCACTGTATTTTATTTCTTTGTAAAAAAAACATCGATGTTCAGTTTTCGATAAATATCGAATATCGATGTTGGGCTTACGATGATGACACCGATGTCAACATCGATATTTTTCTAATATCGGCATCCCTACAACATAACCGCGCACCACGAACCTTTTTTTTAGTAGATTTTCCGTAAAGAGAGCTTAGCCCATACACAGCCCATACACATAAAACAGCCATTGTCTGTTGTACCAAAGCTCTAGGCTTACTGAAAAAGAATCGATACATCGATATTTTGAAATCAATATATCGATATTTTAACCGATATATATTGGTCCGATGTATCAAATATCGATACCAAATAACCAGGATCAAAAACGATATTTTTTTAATTCTTATAGCACCGAAATCGCTGAAACCCGAAACTGTAGAAGATAGGATCGAACAAAAAAGAACTATATTGTTTATAACATATTATGATATTTTTGTAATTTTGTTTAATAAAAAGGAATACTGGTAAAATACTTTGCAATTGCAATTGCAATTTAATCGATATATCGATATTTTCCCTTTGATATATCCATGCTTATATTGATAATTTAATAAATACCGATACATCGAAATATCGAACTTCCTCATTCACCAAGAAACGTCCGTTCGAAGCGAACAGCAAGGCAATAACTTAATATTTAAAAATCACAATGATACGCAACAATTATTTTATTATCGCTACTGAACTCGCATGGCGTCATGCGGAGTAGCGCAAGAAGTATAGAGTATCGAGTCAGGTGTTAAGTTAATTCGCACGGTGGATATGTAATGTTTCATTATTACTATAATATTGACAATAATAGGTTGGCTTCATACTCTACCTTCTCTAGAAATCACCTTTATTGTAATATATTACTTATTTATATTAAAATCATTCGACGTGTAGATGCATAATGATACATATGGAAATACAGCACATAACTTAAATTGACGATTCAAATAAAATTAATTTGGAAGCTAGATATTATAAGAAAACGAAACAATGTCATATTTGTTACTTTACGATATTTAGTTTAATTTTATTACGTCTGTAAGAAAATTTAAATGAATATCATAGACAATTATCCGATAATCGCTAGTGACATCTAGTTTGCTCTCAAGAACTTATTTTTATTTTTAAATACATACTCGTTGGGGAGGATACCAAATTCAGTACAATTTTATTGAAAATCGATATTAAAGATATTTATATCAATAATGTAGACTCGATTAGATTTTAGAGTATAAACCAGATCAATCTTAAGATCATTGCAAAACTAACAGATCGAACATCGATCTTTACTATAATCTTTAATTACCGTCATTAAAATACATCTACATCATCTAATCTTTACTTTACTTGTCCAAAGCCTGGGTTTTTACTTTAAATTGTAAATAATTACAATAACATGAGATAGTTATATATTACTTTTACCAACAACTTTTTTCAAAATCACACTAATTATTATTGTCGGTTTACAATTTCCTAAATATAATAGATTGATAATACCCCAATAATTTAGATAGAAAGTTTTGTGTACGACGTTAGGAGAATAGTACGATTTTTGTATATATTTATCTGTACATCATTGCTTTTTTCACCTGGTAATGATCTCATATGCAACATATAAGAAATTATATGCATTCAAAAATATGTGAAGAGATGCATGAAAGGACAATGCCAAGCTACCATAGAAACTTTGGCCAGAACCGACAGACAAGAGTGTTATATTATAAGAAAGGGGAAAAAATATAGAAAATTATATGCACATTATATCTTTAATAAAAGCTTACCAAAAAAAAGTTATATTCAAAAAAGTTTTTGTTTTTTTCAACAATTTTCTACATAGCTTTTCATTAAAACAGCCTATTTATATACATTTATGGATTTAAGGTAAAGGACGAAACCTTTTAAGTCATAAAAAAGGATCTGTAAATTAAAAAACATGTAATGATTAATATTTTTAATTATCAATTGTATCAATTTTTAGTTGTAAAAAAATTTCTAAAAACTGTGCTGGCTTCCATATTTGACTGATATCTAGCCCATCCTAAATACCAAATGATCGTCATTATGTGAGCAGAGCAACATACAGTTCTACGCCCCACCAAAATTATTGTAGATACACTTGCAAGTATTTTCCCTGGAATTCGAGACTGATATAATGTTATCATCATTAGAGTGCTCCAGCTCATGAATTGGCAATTCTTGAGAAGATATAGAACTTGCAGATAATGGAGATGGTGCAGTATAATTTACAAATAACACTTTTGCCAACAAGGGTGACAAATTCTGTCTGATGATCGGAGCTGAAAAGAAATAAAATCATTAGAAATATTGTAACAAAATCATTTCTTTCAATGTTTATAGCATTTATTCTAGATAAAAAATAGTTAAGATTTTAATTTCGACCCAGGTAAAAACCTAATCAAAATCGAAATACATAATATTCATGACAGCTCACAATTATTTAGTGCAAAACTAAGAAATCTCATACTATGACAACTAAATAACAAATAGAATACATAAATATGAATGATACAACCACGATTCAGGTACAAATATTTGTGTTCATCACACAAATAAACGCCCCAACCATGGTTCGAACCCAGAACCACTTGAGGTGTCGCAACCTTAAGTTCTGTATAGACACCACTCCGCCACAGAGGTCATCATTTGGGTTTGATTTTATATAAATATTTTTAAAGTATAGACACCATCCCATTAGTGTTTAAATACTATCTATAGTTAATTACATGCTCGGTTTGTTTAGATGTTTTGCATTCCATACAAAGCATAAGCATAATATAATGGTAAATTATAATTGTCAAATAATTGACTTATTATTATTACTATAACTTTTTTATTATAATTAAATGAATGTTGTTTTTACTTACTTGTTGTGGCATAATCCTTTTCGCAACAACAGATCTTTTGTCAGTATTGTTATTTAACATAGGAGTTCTTATACAATATTAAAGATCTTCCACAATGTATACATACATTTTCATTACCAATACGTGACTGACTTATTTCAGGCACTTCATTTATAGTAACAATCAACACTCATGACACACCACACTGTTGCTTGGTATCTGTAGGTAAAATGTAAGGGTTACTATTAATGTTTTCAATGATCTATGTTGATATGTAAATACCCACAGCATTTTAGTCGTACATGCATCGAAATACTTACGTCTAACTACGAATAAGCCGAGTCGACAAGAATAACAGGTTCAGTCCAAGTTAAAAGCCGAGTCAACATGTAAAACTGAAATGTGGTCATAGTTAAAAGCCGGGTCAATAATTAAGAAGTTTCAGATTCAAGTTCGAAGCCAGGTAAATAGATAGAATAAAAACAAAAACAACAGAAAGCACTGAATAACAAAGTGAACGAATTGTACCGCAAATGTAATGTTTATTAATGACTATGACAATTAAAAAAAGTGTTGCCATTAACAGATGTTAAATTGTTTTCAATCGATTAATATCGATTGTTAATAAATAATAAATTATATGTTTTAGTATGATTATTTACTAATTATAGTTATGTAAAATAATAAGGAAAAATATTTTTGTGCAGTATCAAAGAGAAAAATATTATAACATGGCGTATTTATTGTACTTTTATTCACTTTCACAACTATTGATTAATTCATAACGATTTTCGACAGATTAGTCATTTTAACTTTACAAAAATTACTAGTAACGGTGTGCTTTTTTTAAATCTATTAATAGTTGATAATTTTAAGTATTATAAAATATAAATTGCAATGATAATGAATTGCTTGTCGGCGACAAGCCGTATTTTGGCATTCTCCTTTAAATGTAATGAATGTTAAAAATCGCTATATGATATCGATTATATGATTAAACTAGCTTACTTGAATAAACCGGCATCCCTATTATTCAAGTAATCCAAGGAGATCCACTTGAGTTTTTGTTTTTTGAAAACGCGCATTACAAATTAAGAAATTAAAATGTTTGCTATTCGTAATCTGGTCAGAAGCAATGTCCAATTCGCCAAGAATGTGACTCCAATAAGAAACATGAGTGTAACCGCTACTCCGGCGAGAAATAAGGTGTCAAATGGGGTATGTTGATTTATTACTTTAATTTCCATCTAAACGTACATAACACATTAAGTTTTCCAATAATTCGAAATAAGATATGTTTGATGGTTAAATAAATGTTTTTTAATTATCTGCATATAACTAATAGAAATAGTAAGTTTTTTCTATTATTACGTAATTTTGCAATCTAGATAACCTAATTTTAGTAATTAAGTACATATCTGTAATTTTTCTATATTCTCATGGCGTAACGGCTTGCGCAGTCGGTCTGCTATACCATTGTTACGCAACTTTCGCAATGGTTGGTTATAGGATGGGTGACCAAAATTTATCTTCGGAAGGCACGTTAAGCCGTTGGTCGCGCAGCCATTGCATCTGCAATCATTAATACCCACCAATCGGCACTGGACATTTTTATCCGCCATCTTTTCAGTGTAGTTTGATAATAGCAAACATTTCAAAGATGTGGTTTTAATTTCAAAGTTTCTACTCAGAAGCCTAATTGCATAATTTCAAAATTTATAACAATCACTTTGAATTTGACTTGTGAAAGATATTCACAAGCTTCATGCGTCAACTATTTCATGTGACATAGCAATTGCTTTTTTAAACGTATTGAATGAACTATAATGTTTATTTTATAATAACCAGAATTGTTTAAACAAAGTAATTAAAAATGCTTTTCCTTCTGAACCATGTACTCTAAGCTCATCTTTAAACTTAACCCTTAATATTCTTCATCATACTTCCGACTTCTTATCCTACTCATTTTCCATGTATACAATACATCTTTGGAATTTGTTGCCTGAAGCTATAAGAAAGGCTTGCACCTTACATGGTTTTATTGTAAAAGTTAAAACACACTTCCTTGAAAATTGTTCATATATTTATGTTTAATGACTTTTTATATTTATACCTATTTTATATATTATATATCATTATTCAGATTTATTTATTTGCTTTTCCATCTTGCACCCCCTTTTTTATTATATAGTTCATGTTTTTTTTTTCATCATGCGGATTGCCTGGAAAAGATTCATCATCATCATCATGACCAGCCCTTTTACATCCCCACTGCAGGGGCTCGGGCCTTTCTTATGGATGGTTAAGGAGGATGGGCCATGACCCTCCAAGCTGGCCTAATGCGGATTGGAGGGTATTAACGACTGCAAATGCAGCCGGGGCCAACGGCTTAACGTGCCTTCCGAAGTAGCTCGTGATAATAATTTTTGGTCACCCATCCTGTGACCAACCCTTGCGAAAGTTGCTTAACGACTACGATTGCGGGCCGCGGCGCTTATCCACTACGCCACCGAGCTACTCAAAAATATTGCTACGTAGCAATAAGGTCGCTCTTTGTGTTTCTCTCTTTTTTTCTAGTGTCTCTGTAATATGTCCTGTCTAGCGTGCAATAAAGAATATTATCATTATAATATGTACAAATATCTTTGATAACTATTGAAAAATGTAAAATTAAATTAATTGTCTGTTTTTGACATTATATCATTCATATCTTATTCATTCCAAAAGCGTTGTAACTATTATACTTTAGGGATCGCGTTAGATTTTTAAATTAGACAATAGGATGATGACAAATTTTTGTTTATCCGTCAGGTAGAGTGTTAAAATATATTTAACACGTATTTTTTTCGTAATCATAAAATAACGCGTTACATGGAGTTGAAATTTCGCATGACGTCACGTCAGGGTGGGTACGTTTTCTACTAAACTGTGACGTAGCGAGCCCCCACTCCTCAACTTTAATGCCTGTTATCTAAGCTATTTTTTGTTAAATTGAAGTAAAAAAAAATACGTATCTAATATTTTTCTATTATCTGACTGACGGACTAAATAGAATTGCATTTTTTTTACCCAGTCATCATCCCTATTAGGCCATAGTTTCTTATAATTTATTTTTTTTATTTTCAGGAGATGATCGTCTTGGCAAGCCTGATGGTTATTGGTTGGTCTGCCATCCCCGCATGGGTCCTTGTCAACATTAAGAACTACCGCGGGAACTGAGCTTATGTTATCTAAATAGTAGTGACCGATTAAGTAATGTTTTAAGTTATAAGTAAAGATGATTACAAATTGATATTTGTTTTACTTAAACCTAATAAGAAGTTATACAGTGGATTCCAATCCAACTAATGGCATAGGGGCCGTCCATTAATCACGTGAGGCTCGAAAGGGGGGGAGGCATTCGTCAAAAATCACGAAATATCACAAGGGGGGTAGGGGGCTGTAGTAATATATCACGTGTATTTATTTTTCCTTGATGTGCGATTATTAAACCGAAAAGCGCCGTAAAATATTTTTTTTTTTAAATACACGTGATTTGGCTGAAGGAGAGAGGGGGTAGTCTTAAACCTCACCATGTATCACCAAGGGGGAGAGGGGGTCAAAAAAATGATTTTTTTTCTTTAATATGGACTTGTTCCGTTACACACGGAAATTTTGCCAACATCCCGTAGTGAGAATCTAGGGTTGGCAACTGTACTATAATATATGTACCTATAGTTATAGTACTATGAAAAACATCTTTTAAAAGATTGTAACGTTGGCATCTATCATCGTTTTTCAGATGTGTTATGATTTATTTTCCCACGAGTGTTTTACCGCTCTGACTTTTCCAAGTGAAAATTTTAGATTTTTATTATTGTGTCGAAATACTCTTAACGAACTCTTAAAACCTATAACCTGAATATTTATGGCTCCAAATCGAATATATAACGCTTGCCAAATTCTATCACTGTTTTTGCTAAAATTTTTTATCTAGGCGATACGAAAGTCCTGTCGCCGCACCATATATTTCTATATAAGTCCGAACAGCCTTGCGATTATGTTAAAAGCCAAACCCCAATTTGAATTAACTCAGGGTTCCGCACTCGCATCAAAAAGCGGCATCCGTCTTCTTGAATTGGTAATAAGGTTTCGTGGCATAAGTAAGTTTCGAAATGACATAGCATTAGAATATCTGAGAATCAATCTATCAATTTTGTTTTGTATTTTTATACAAAAAATGGAATCGAAAGAATTTTCTCACTAAATGACTTGAATTCGTACACATGAGTGAATTGGAATTCGAGTTTGGATTTTTATAGAATCGTAGGGCTGGAACAGCTGGCGATGCAAATCTTCCTTTTAGACCGGGCGCTAGAGGTAAGTGAGTATGCATTATGTGAGTACCGAATTTCGCCAAAAGTGAAGAAAAGGTCAAAGAATAATAATGTGGATCTTGCCGGTAAATTTTTTGGTCCATTTCCTTTTACCCCCTCTTCTCTTATTCGTAAAGGGAACGTATTGAGTATATGATTTAAAATCATTTTAATGATTATTTCCGTAATAATTTATAGTTTTTTGTAATAGTAAAAGTGAGGATGGATTCTTAAAAACTAAAAAAAAAAAACAGAAATGGAAGTATTTTTTTTTTATTAATAAAAAAATAAAAATATTTTATGAACATCCAGCAAATTCCAGCATAAATGTACCAACGTAAAGTAGGTAAAAAATGACTAATTTTTCTTTGCACATTTGTTATTGATGCAAATGTGCAAAGAAAAATTAGTAATGAAATACAAAAAAAAAAAATCAATTTGCAGTAGATTTACAGGGTGGAATTAATGACTCTGGTAAAGACGGCTTCGTTATTCGTCGTGGACGTAAGTCATCGTTGAGGTTTTCTTAACCAAATGAACAATAATCAATGGGTGTTTGATGAGCATTTTTCCATACAAATGTTTGTACTGTAGACCTTAGTAAATGCAAATGCAAGGCATCTGAAGTGCATATTGTGCACTCTCATCAAATTGAAATTAAAACCTATATTTTGAGATATCAGTATAAATCTGAGTTCATCAGCAGATACTTTTTTCTTTGAAAATAAATATGTGCAAACTGCTTCTAACTGTTTGAATTGCGCATTATTTAGGTCGAGGTTTCCCAAATGCATGAGAGCTGTTTGTACAAAATCTTCAGACGTAGCTTTCAACCATTGCATTTTACTACCAAATCTACTAGTAGTATTGCAACCACTTATAGCATGTAATGCTGGCAAAATATTGCATATGTTTTCACCCAGGGATTCAGCAGACAAATGGCATCCTAGAAAACATTTGTTTGTGTGAGAACCGTCAAACCATAAACCTAGACACCCAATATTTGCTAAGTATTTCCAGAAATAAACTGCCAAGACGAATACATCTGTATCAATGCTCATTATGATAATCTGAGCAGATTGAATCCTTACTGTGTGAAATATGTGGACGAACATTCTTGAATCAGCTTCTAAATGGTTTGATTGTAATTCAAGTACTTCACAAATTAAAGATCTTGAAACATTTAGTTGGATCATCGAATCCTCCACAAATATACATCTCGCAGTCTTCATTTACTTGTGCATATTTTGGAGCATTAGCGCAAAGAAATCGGATGAGTTGTAATTTATTATGAGCGTTAGTAAGAAAAGCTTTACAATTAGCAGGAAGAATTTGTTGAATGGTTGGAAATTATGGTATTTTTAATGATCTGCTCTTTACTCCGTAATTTTGTCTCCAAAAATTGTATAGAAATATCGTCGTATCTATCAAATATTACATCTATTCTTTTAACGCCAGGCAAAGTAAAAAATTCTTAAATTTTTTTGAAGAAAGCTTCAGCAATATCACCGAAAGTATTGAACTTATTTAACTGAATTACTTAATATGCTTATCAGCTGTTTTGATCTAGTTAAGTGATGAATTGATTCAGCTAAAGCTATATGTTTCGGTGTCTGCTTCTAAGTAACTATAAAAAATATATCATAAAATACAGATAATGTTCCTTTATAATAGTTCGCATCTAGTTTAATTTCGGGAACTATCTTTTTTTTAATACTTCCTCATTTAACTACAAATAATAAGACAAAGAATTTGCATACTTAGTAATAGGCGAAACATGATGTACAAATTGTTAGAAACTAGCTGGCAGTTGGCAAAGTGTACATATTTAAGAAGTTTTTATGACATGTTCCTTATATATAGTTTTTTGACTTTTAGTATATTCTTTGATTTTGTGATGAGTAGCTTAAAATTATTGTTCTGTAACCGACTTATAAACTTGTAAACTTATGTAGTAATATTATATTATTAAATTCATTTTATTTAGCATTTCATTATAAAGTCCCCGCTCTAGTAGTTATCACAAATAAAAAATTAAGTCTGTTATCTTAATTACCTAAATAAGTTTGTGGGAAACGAATAAATGATATCTAGCTATGTTCTTGTTAATTTTGGCTAGTGTTTCAATATGTACTTTTATCATTGACATTAAAACCGTTTATAAAAAGGTTTGATTGATTTATGCTGCAGTTATATTTACGCAGTTTAAGAAAACATTAATTTCTATTCATAAAACTACAAATACTTCTAATAAATTAGACTGATTGTTTCACAAGAATGTTATAACAGATGTTTTAGATTTGTTTTTGTTGCCAAATTAAATAGAGTAACTGTACAATTATTTCAATTTGGAGGTTCCGTTTAAAAATTATGAAATGCTGGCTGTATTGAAAATAATCCCTATCTATCTCATGGAGTCTGTGGATGAGATAGGTAGAGGATGGTGATTTGCCCGCGTCGGATGCGCTTCGGTGGTGAAAATTTATGATATCTGTGAATTATAATGATAACTGTTATTTATTTCTAATTAGCAATTTAACTATAGAAATACAGAGGTGAACTCGGGAATCACTTTACACGCAGTAGGCATTAGATCACAGAGTTAAGGCTAAGAGCCAAAGTAGCTAACCTTCGGTTCCTAATCCTGAATTAAAGTCATTTTCTTTTTCGGCTCTCAACCTTAGGCAATGCCGTAACAGTCGTAGGCAGTCCCCAGCTGAAAGGAGCTCCCAGTCAGAAGAGACTCCTTACTCCTGACATTTATCATAATATAATAATAATTTATTTGCAGAATACACGTTATTATTTCGCAATTGGTAAATAGAATTGAATATCATATAAATTTGCGACGGGCCTCAAACGGTATAGTTACGCCACTGACCTTAGGGGTTCGGAACCACCTTCCCAATGGGGAAAGGAGACAATTCTTCATCGGATACCACACTGCCGGCTGTGAGGTTATGTCAGACTCCTACTGATTAAACACCGCCTTGGACAGTTGGTTGCGTGCCCTGAAGGGGCAGCGAACCTTCGACGGGAGCGACCGCCCCGCTTTAGAAAGCACTAAAAAGCACCTCACTAGATGGAGACTCTATCAAAAGTCGATTTGGTCAGGAAACCAATGGACGAAAGATAGTCATTTCCGTTCCTTTTAACTAACATATTAAAAAACTGAAATTTGCAAAGTTTGAAACTTAGATATCAATACAAAAACGATTCGATATAAGTACAAATAGAATATGAGTTGTTTATTGAGTTTTGAAAACTAATTTAATTTTATACATGAAAGAAAACCGGAAGGGTTGACATGGAGAAATCAAGAAGGTACCGTAGCGACATCTAGTTTGATTTCGGGAACTTCGGGATGAAAACAATGTGAAACGGCATATTATTACTTACAAACCAACAATATGAAGTTATAGCGCGAAGCATTAATAATATTTATAATTTTATTGTGAAGTCGAAAAAAATGTAGGGTAAAATATAGTTTGAACAACTTGCTTCACTCGCTCTTTTCTGACTTTTTACCTGACTGCGCGACGCAAAGGAGGGAAATGTGTTAACCTTGCGAGTGTCAAAATTCACCAAACCGACAACCAGACACCATATTGTCAAAATGAAAAAAAAAATCGATGAACTTATGTCAAGTGGGGTGTCGTTGAATAGGTATTTTAACCTACACAATTGAAATAGTTTTATAATCGATACACACATAAAACAAATCATTTGCAATTCTAATGCAGAACAGAACGACTCATAGTCGGGGCCCCGTGGGAAGATTTGATTGGTATTATTTGAATGGGCCCCGACTGTGATCTGCATTAAAATTTATGATTTGTTTTAGGTGTGTATCGATTAAAAAACAATTTCAATTGTGTAGTTATTTAATATTACTTAACAGAATTCCTTACTACTGGGCTTGTTTTTTTCTTTTTA